GTTCTGTATAAATTTATGAAAGAAGGTCAAACCTTATTTTGTTTATAGCTTTCTTATGTCTCAAATTTATGAAATAAGTCAATAAAAAAACCGTCACGCCGTGTTTTCCATGATTTTTAATTTGAGACGGGCGTGTAAAGAAGAAAAATTGTTGAGCGTGATCTAAATGATGCTATTGGCAAGTTGGGTTTGATTATTATATAAAATGTTGAAAGTTTGTTCGATGATGTATATACCTATAAGATTAATATTGTGTTGACTTGTAAGTAATGAGAAATTTGGTGGGTGACAAAGAACCAACTTGAAGCATGTAGCTTTGACTCCACATAACATATACATAATGCAGGTATTGCATTATTACACAATAATTTTATACCCGAAAAAAAAAAAAATCAAGATGACAATTGCATCATTGAATTATGCATCTAATTGGTATATATGCATTTTTTTTTTTAATTTCAAATGAAGTCAATCTGAGACTATTTAAGTTACGAGCCCTTAGAAATTAGTTAAAAAAAACCAAATGTAAAGGTTAGGGAATTCCAAAGCGTTTTTGTTAGCTGTTTATAATTACAAAACAAACAAACTCATTGTTTGACCAAAAAAAAAAAAAAAAAACTCATTGGAAATGTCATTCATGTTATATGCCTTTGTTTCCTAAAAGTCAGAACTACCAACACAAGAGAAGCTCTTTATATATTTGTTTTTCTTTGTAAACTCCAACAACCAATTTTACCGCAGTATTCTATAATTTCTCATCAAAGTGACATTTTTAGTGTGACCATCTTACCGTAGTATTCTATAATTTCTCATCAAGAGGACATTTTCAGTGTGAGAAAAGTAATGGCAAAGGCGTAAAAAGCAAATGCCTTGTCTTAAATACCAGAACCTAGATTGCCGGTGTTGGTTTTTGGCTTAAAAGTTTTACAACTTTGGTGTGCAAACCAAACCCACAGGCCAATCGTCCTGTGTCGGCTGCTGTTACTGTAGTGTCCTTACAACCCCTTGGCCATCTCCTTCGTCCCTGGTGGCTGGCTGAGATGCCAGATTTTGCTTTCAAAGCAGGAGTGAGTGGATCTACTTCAGATGGCCCTTCCACTGGTGAGAAGAGAGCCCGAACACAGGAAATGGCTGATGTTGGTGGATCTGAGTCCCCTGAGCCTCCCCTTGCTCTGCCTCCGTTTTCGATGAGCTTCAAAGATAAGGTATCAGGGGATTTTGGTTTGGCCCAAGATAATTTTGTTTTTGGGGAAGATGATTTTGTAATAAAAAATGGACCAATTCCATCAATTGATTTCTCTGAGAAGGTGAAAGACTGCCTCTACAGACCTTGGCGGACAGCAGTGATTATTAAGCTCATGGGTCGCCCATTGAGCTATACTTTCCTGCGGAATCGTCTCCTTCAACGTTGGGCTCTAAAGGGTCCGATGAGCCTCATCGACCTGGATAATAATTTTTTCATTGTGAAATTCTTATTAGAGGAGGATATGAATTATGTGCTTACTGGAGGACCATGGCAAATTGCTGGCCAGTATTTGGCCACTCAAAGGTGGAAGCCTGGTTTCAATCCTAAAGAGGAACGGATCACCCATATGACTGCTTGGGTTCGGATTAATGGGTTAAATGTGGAATACTTCAGAACAGATATAATGGAAAAAATTGGCAATCTTGTTGGCCAAACTGTGAAAGTGGATGCCCATACCATGAGTCAAGCCAGAGGTAAATTTGCTCGGGTCTGTGTTGAACTTAATCTTGCTAAGCCGCTCACTCCTTTTATAGTTGTTGAAGGGCGTACTTTTGGGGTTGTTTATGAAGGAATTCAATTGGTTTGTTTTGAATGTGGCTGTTATGGGCATGGTAGAGATTCTTGCCCTGTTATCTTACAAACTAAAAAGCAAGAAACTGAATCAGCAAATTCTGAATCAGCAAATACTGAAAGCATGAAGGAGAATACAACAGCAGTTTCGGAAATTATTGAGAGTAAGGAGGAGACTACTCCAGTCAAGCAAATTGGTGTGGATAGTTTTAGTCCTGAAAACTTAGTTGCTGAAAACCCAGCTAAGATACACGGCCAATGGATGCTAATGAAGCCAAAGATTTCCACAAAGAAGAATCCTAGTGATCAGGGGCGAGGTGCAGATACTAGAAAGAAAATCTCTAAGCGTGATGGCAATGAACCCAATCTTGGTGCTTCTGGATCCAGGTTTTCTGTGTTGGATAATGGAGATAATAATGATATGGCAGTTGAGGAGCCTGTTGCTGCAATCTCTCCTCCTTCTGCAGACCAAAAGGCAAGCATGAGGAAGCCCAACCGTCCTTTCCAACCAGCAAACTCTAAGTTGAGTGGCTCAGGCAAACAAACCTTGGCTAGTCGAGACCCGAAAGGTTGGATGTCTAAGAAACCCCTCAAAGACATCTCTAACCAAGACACTCTTGGGGGTGATGGCAAGCCACCCAGCTCTGGTACTTGGGGACACCTGAAGAACAATTTTGGAGCTCGGCCTCTTGCTGCTGCTGGTCTCAGCTCGGTAGGGATGCAGGTTCCTGGAGCTGATGTTCAGGATGATATTGCAGGTAAATTCTCCTTTAATGTGACAAACCCTTTTACTGGGAACCTTATGGATAAGGGTACCAATCTTTCTGTACTTATACCTCCAGACCCTGGGAACAATGTTACCAAATCTTATGAGTCTTCTCCTCCTATGCTATCTTGTGACACTATGGAGATTAGTGAGGAACAATTTTTTCATGATGCTCATGATGTTGGTATGGGGGCTGATCTGCCTGTTGTCAATGATGCTCCCCGTTTGTGTGGAGCTCAGCAAGGTGATTGTTAAGGGTTTTCCTTGGTCTGTCCCACCATCTTTTTATCCAATGATTATTGTCTCTTGGAACGTTAGGGGTGCTGGAAAAACTGAATGTGCTTGTACTATCAAGGATTTAAAGAAGATCTATGCTATTGATGTTCTTGCTGTTTTAGAGCCTAGAATCGGTGGTTCTAGGGCTCTTAATATTGCTAAAAGTTTGGGTTTCTCTTGCTATCATATTGTTGATGCCACTGGTTTCTCAGGAGGAGTCTGGTTGCTTTGGAATGGTCCCTCTGTTTCTTTGCAGGTTATCTCTCATTCCAGCCAGACTATCTCAGCCTTGGTAACTATGGATGAAGGTTCTTGGATCCTCACTGTTGTTTATGCTAATCCGTGCCCGGGCATTAGAAAATCTCTCTGGAATTATTTAGATGGTCTGGCTTCTGCTTCTAATCTGCCTTGGTTGATCCTTGGGGATTTTAATGATACTGTGTGTGCTTCTGAGAATCGGGTGATTTTGAAGTTAAGGATTCTCCTTATGGTCCCTCGATTCGTTTTTCTGAACAGGTTAAGAATAAGATCTATAGACCTTGGAAAAATTTTGTGATTATCCAGTTCGTAAGGAAGACTCATACCTATAATTTTGTCCTTGCACGGCTGAAGCAGCGTTGGAGACTTAAGGGGCCAATGCAATTGGTTGATCTAGACAATGGGTTCTTCATTGTTCGTTTTGTTCTGGAGGAGGATTTGTTGTATGTGTTAACTGGGGGTCCTTGGGTAGTAGCTGGACAATATGTTGCTGTTAAAAAATGGAGACCTAATTTTTGTGCAGCTGAGGAGCATGTTTCCCGCATTACTGTTTGGGTGAGATTATCTGGTATGGGAGTTGAATTTTTCAATGCTGAGACTATTAAGTGTATTGGGGATTTGATTGGCTCATCATATAAGGTGGATGTTCATACTGTAGGTCAGATGAGAGGTAAGTTTGCAAGGGTCTGTGTTGAAATTGATTTGAATAAGCCTCTCATCCCTTACCTAGTTGTTGAAGGTAGGCCTATGAGAGTGGAATACGAAAACCTCCCTGTGATTTGTTTTAATTGCTGCAGAGTTGGGCACAGTAAAGAGTATTGTCCTTTTGCTAACTCTGTCCATAAGGACAATGAGACTGATATGGATATGACTGGGGATATTCAAGAAGAGATGCGTTCTCATCAAGTACAGTTACATAAATTGAGGCTTGATGATAATCAAAGAGGCCCAATTGATCCCATGGGGGATAAGGCAGGTTTTGGTATCTGGAATGTTGTTCCGACTAGAAAAGCTTGGAAGAAGAATTTTAAAAATGGGACTACTACTAGTGAAGATAAAGGAAAGGGTGTTAGCCCTGAGGTCGTCCAGAAGAGGCATGATAAGGTTTTTCATTCCAGCAATGCTTTGCCTCAAAAAGATAAAAAGGAAGTTGTTCAAAAGGTTAATTCTGAGGCTGGGATTTATGATGCTTCTGGTTCTAGATTTAATATCTTGGAGAACGATTGTTTTGATAATGAGCAAGAGCCTGTTTTTGGGAATTTGGAGAATCTTCTGTCAAATAAAGGGAAGGCTATCCAAAGTAAAGATGATGGTAGTTGGAATGATCTAACTCCTCCTAATAAGGGCAAGAAAAAGGTTGGTAAGCCGAGAAAAGTTTTGTCTGATATTTCAAATAAATCTTCTTCTAGGCCAGCTATTGTGTTGAGGCCTAACTCTAAGAATTTGCCTCATGATTCCACTATAAATTCTGTGTCTGAGTTGGACCAAGCTTTGAGTAATCTTAGGAGGCCTATGACTAGCGTTGACAATGGAGGTTTGGAAATTGGGGAGGTTGAGGCTCGTAGAAATGATCATTCTTCCATTTCTAAGCCTCGAGCTCCAAATATTATTTCTGTGGTTTCTAGAGCTACTGATCAGGATATGGAAATTCAGGATTTGAGGGATTCTGAGAGTGTGCAGTTGGATTCTAAAGTTGGTGAAGCTTTAATCGCTGATGTGGCTGCTTGTTGTGCAGAGGATGGCAAGGTACAAGGTCTCAAGTGTATGGGGCCTTTGTCTGCCAATGTTGATTAGGTTTTTTTGACCGTTTCTTTCTTCCTTTCATCTTTAATGATTGGTTGTTGGAATATTAGAGGGGCAGGTAATAAGAGATCTTTGCTTGCGATGCAAGATCTTAAGTATAGACATAAATTGGATATGTTGGTTATTTTGGAGCCTAGAATTAGCTCCAGTAAAGCTCAGAAAGTCATTTCTCAACTTGGCTTCCCTAAAGCTGAAATTTCTGATGCTGTAGGCTTTTCTGGTGGTATTTGGCTGCTGTGGGATGATGCTAAATTCAACTTGAGAGTCATTCATTGTATGGATCAAGCTGTTTCTGTTTGTGTTGAGACTTCTGGAGGTATTTCTTGGATCTTTACTGCTGTGTATGGGCACCCTTGCCCGGCTAGGAGAGCTTATCTCTGGAAAAACTTATCTATTATTGCTGCTTCTTGGAATCTTCCTTGGGTTGTCTGTGGGGATTTTAATGATATCTTGTTTGAAGATGAAAAATTTGGAAAATTATCTGGTAAAAGTAGAGGTTTCAAGGACTGGTTTGATCAGCATGGTCTCATTGATTTGGGATTTTTGGGACCCAAGTTTACTTGGGTTAATAAGAGAGATGGTGGTGATTTTGTGATGAAGAGATTGGATAGGGTTATTTGTAACAAGGAGTGGAGGGTTTTATTTCCTGAAGCTTTCGTGACGCATCTGCCTAGAAGATGCTCTGATCATAGTCCTCTTTTGATTAGTCTTATCTCTGATAAGATTCCTGCAGCTGAGCTTAAACCTTTCAGATTTGAGGCAATGTGGCTTAAACATTGTTTATTTCCAGAGTTCATTAAAGCTGAGTGGAAGAATTTGGAAGGTTCAGTTTCTAATAAATTTGACATGTTGATTCCCCTGCTTCGGGAGTGGAATACTCAAGTCTTTGGTCAAATTTTTCAAAAGAAAAAGAGAATTCTTGCTAAGCTTCAAGGTGTTCAAATGTCTCTTTGTAAGGGTTTCTCTCCTTTTTTGAGCAATCTGGAGAAGCATCTTCAACAGGAGTTTGAGGATTTATTGGATCAGGAGGATGTGTTTTGGAAACAAAAATCTAGAGTTTCTTGGCTGCAGGGTGGGGATAGAAATACCAAGTTCTGTCACATTACTACTCTTGTCAGAAGAAGAAGGAATAGGATTGAAAGGCTTAAAGATAATAATGGGGATTGGATCTCTAGTAAAGAAGGTTTGAAAGCGCTTGCTGTTGAGTATTTTCATGGGCTTTCTTTCATTCAAGTTTAATTTTGACCCATCCCACCTGCCTACCTAATCACGGGACGGCAGCTGGTTTTGAGAAACTTTTGAGGAGAAAACACCACCATGCCTGATTACCATTATACCCCTTTTTCAACTCACACATCAAAATTTTCTTCTAATTTAGGTTGATGCGAAAAATTAAATTCCAAGAGTTAGGCCAGTTATTTATATCAGTGAGCCACCCTCTACCATCTTAGTTCAATTCTCTTTCTCCGTAAATTAGATTAGATTAATTTAGACTATTATTTGTATAACGATCTTATTTTATTATTATTAGAGTCTAAATACAATGTACACATCCATGTATACCGGTTAATGTCACCCTAATGTTTCTATAGTATAATTGAGAAATTATGTCTTTTTCTTTTCAACTTTTTGGTAAATTTGTTATTTCTTATTTAATTAGAACATATTTGTTAAACTTAATGTGCAATCCACAATATTCGATTCGTTGTGATATACAATAGGAAATGAATCTAGGGCCAATTAAGGAGTTGGGGGCAAAAGCGTAAAAACTCAGAGAAATTGTTTATTTCCGTGGGGAAGAGGCCAAGCAAGCAGTACAACATCCAAGCCGCACTCACATAAAAAGCCCCACCCACCCTTCAGTTTCTCCCATCTCACTCTCTCTCTCTCTAAGAAAAACCTGTCTTCTTTCTCTTAAGCCTTAGCATCAACCATGTCTGCTTTCAGGGGCAAATACGCTGGTAATTTACTCCCTCTGTTTGCTCTGTTAACGTTCGTATCACTCTGTTTGTGTCTCTGCTTTTATTTTTATTGCTTAGATCTGATTATTCTGTGTAGTTCTTGTTCCGTTTTGAAGATTTGATGCTTGAAATCATCTTTATTCAGTATGTTGTAGTTTTTTAGTATTTTTTACTTCTGACTTCGAGATCTGAACACCCAGATTTATTTTCTTCACTCTAGTGATCTCTTGCAGTTTTTCTAGATTGGGTTCTCAGGAAAGCAATCGTTTGTTCTTCCTGAAGTGTTTTTAGTGACTAAAGTTTAGATCTAATCTCTCAGGCATACTTCATATTGCTTTTGGGTTTCCTTTGCGAAGTTAGAATAAACTCATGGTTCATTCATAGGTAATTTAATTACAAGTAACTCAAGTTACTGGGTATTTCAATTGCTTGGTATAAATCTAGATACTTTGCATTGTAAGATTGTTATGCGGTATATTTTTATTGAATCAACCTTTTGTTTCTATGTTTGCGATGATCCACTTATCCATAGGACTTTACCCTTTTGAGTTCCTGTTTGTTTTTAGTTCTTTATGTTGAGATCTAAATTTGTAATAGTTTTTGGAAGCATATAGCATATAGTGGTTGTCTTTTTCATTGTATTTGGCGCGTTCTAATCCGCATCTGCGGTGTTCTTTGCTGGTTTTACCTACAAAGACTATATGTGCAATTTGGACTGGTCTTAGTGTTTGTTATCGTTCTGTCATTTTTTTTTCTCTGGTAATTTATGGACTTATGTAGGTTGTGATTTTTGGTCTATGTTTCCTGAATTTTGTATTCCTTGCAGATGAGCTCATTGCCAATGCTGCCTACATTGGCACCCCTGGAAAGGGTATTCTTGCTGCTGATGAGTCAACTGGAACAATCGGCAAACGTTTTGCCAGCATCAATGTTGAGAATGTTGAATCAAACAGGCGTGCTCTTCGTGAGCTCCTCTTCACCGCCCCTGATGTGCTCCAATACCTCAGTGGAGTGATTCTCTTTGAAGAAACTCTCTACCAGAAGACAGCCTCAGGTACTTTGACCAGGATTTCTGGCTTTCATACTTTGGAAGTGGCTTAAAATACATTTAGATTGCACAATCAACAGTCGTTTTTATTTGAAATCAATAAGATATTGTTTATGTATTGGCATTATTGTCAGTAATTCGTCATTAACAAATCCTTTGTATTCATACAATGTTTGGGTAGCTTTTTAACAGAATACTGTTTTTGTTTGTAGTCCTATTTCAGCAATCCTCTGGTTACATGGATTGTTGGCCTTTTCCAATTCGTGTTTGTTTTGAATTGGCCTTATCCTAATAGTTCTTTAAATTTCTCATGGAATAATATTTATTTTATCATGTTGTGCAGGCAAGCCATTCGTTGATGTATTGAAGGAAGGAGGTGTTCTACCTGGAATCAAGGTTGACAAGGGCACTGTTGAGCTTGCCGGAACCAATGGTGAGACCACAACCCAGGGTCTAGATGGGCTCGCCCAGCGTTGCCAAAAGTACTATGAAGCTGGTGCCAGGTTCGCAAAATGGCGTGCTGTCCTCAAGATTGGTCCCAATGAGCCATCTCAGCTGTCCATTAACGAAAACGCTAATGGCTTGGCTCGGTATGCTATCATTTGCCAGGAGAATGGCCTAGTGCCCATCGTTGAGCCAGAGATCCTGGTTGATGGACCCCATGACATCGAGAAGTGTGCTGATGTGACTGAGCGTGTTCTTGCTGCATGCTACAAGGCTCTTAATGACCACCATGTCCTGCTTGAAGGAACTCTCTTGAAGCCCAACATGGTTACTCCAGGATCTGATGCCAAGAAGGCTTCACCCGAAGTGATTGCTGAGTACACAGTCCGTGCCTTGTTGCGCACTACTCCTGCAGCTGTCCCTGCTGTGGTGTTCTTGTCTGGTGGACAGAGTGAGGAGGAGGCTACCCTCAATCTTAATGCCATGAACAAGCTCAAGGGGAAGAAGCCATGGTCTCTTTCCTTCTCATTCGGAAGGGCTCTTCAGCAGAGCACACTTAAAGCCTGGGCAGGAAAGGAGGAAAACATTGGAAAGGCACAGGCTGCTCTCCTCACAAGGGCCAAGGCCAACTCAGAGGCTACCCTCGGAAAATACAAGGGTGATGCAAAGCTTGGTGAAGGTGCTGCCGAGAGTCTTCATGTCAAGGATTACAAGTACTGAAGAAATTTACAGTTCTTGCTTCTCTTGTTTTGTTTTTGGAAAACTATTTTGCGGTATGTGTATGACTCTGTCATTCTCGGGCATATAGTGTTAGGGATTTTTCAAATTTCTGTTCTTGCTCTCGGTTTTTAGGATGTTGGTAGAATAAGAAGCTTGAGGACGATTGGCATATGTTGAGTTTGATAAATGTTTTTCTCTTTCCTCTTCAAAAGAACCGTTTATGTTTTTTATATTTCCTGAATGAAGATCAGGATTCTATTTTCAAAATCCAATTTCTAGCTATTTGACATACTTCCGAGTATCAAGTCTTTTATCTTGCTCGCATTGGTATCCTTCCAAACTTATATTTGTATAACCAACCAGTAAGCCAATCCAGTTCGTAAAAAGAAACTCTCATTGTGATTATATTGTTTTATGTAATATTTTATGGGTTAAAAGAAGTTTTAGCATATTGACCATTTAAAGTTCTGGTTGAAATTCGACATAAAAACAAAATTTATGGTTGAAGTTTGGATTGACCTGGGCTCCGGTTTGTCTGCCGACTTGAAAGCACCCAAAATCTGTAAAAAGCACCCAAAAACCAACCTTAGCTTGAAGGCAACTGAATAATCCAGAAGTCCCATAAGGCCCTTCACTACACTTCAAAATCTAGAAAGAAAAGAAAAAAAAAAAAGAGAGGGCCGGAATTGGTTGAAAAATTCTACATCCCTCACGAACAAACAAGCCCATAGCCATAATGCATTTTGCTGGACCAGGGGAGAAAAAACTAATGAATTGAGCTGGGCCAATTGGGCCACATCCCTCTCTGAAAGTATCAAAAAGTGCTGATGTATCAGAATCAGCGAGTTATTCTATAACGAGGGCCTTAGATGAAACCCTATATCTTTAATCGTTGGATCAAATTAAACACTTTGATCCAACGGCTTACCAATTTGATTCAACGGTTATGAGATAGGGTCTCATATAAGGGCATAACGCCCTCACTATAAAAATATTGAAGACTAGACTTGCAGAGCCTCTTATGACTCTTAAAAAAAAAAAAAAAAAGACTTGCAGAGCCTCCTTTTAATTTTATTTTATTTAAAAAATTTCTTAAAAAAGGAAGGCAGATAAGGGGCTCGTCTTTCTGTAGTTACTATAATATATAATATCAATGGTAGGTTAAATTGTCATGTAAGTGTAAAGATAGTTAAAAAGCAGTCAGGAAGCATGGCAAAGATTTCCCAATTTGGGGTAAGCCAGAAGCTGAAAAAGCAGAGCAGAAACACAACAGTCATATTTATTTTTGCTTTTTCCTTTAGTGTTTTATTAGCTCAGTAAGTGGTCACATCAACAAGCATGAAGGCTGAAGCAAGCAAGGCAAAGCAAAGCAAGCATCCCCAAAAAAAGCTGGTCTGCTTAAACTTCAGAGTTCTAAAATTGTCATGTAATTTCGTTTCCCTTTGACTGCTGCTGCTGCTGCTTGGGTTGGAGAGAGTGGAGATTTTTCTTCAAAGTAGTAAAAAGAGAGATATAAAAAAATGGTGGTACTTGCAGAAAACTGTGACAATGACTGGCAATATGTCTATGTCTCCTCCCTTGTTTGGTTCCCCTGGTGGGAAGCTTCTTTACTCTTTCCTATGTACGGTCATGCTCATGAGTCTCTGTCTAAGAGTGATGATATTTGTACACTCACACTGCGCTGTGTATTTGAGTGTCATATGACCCTTTTTCTCTGTTTGGATCATAATGGGCTCTCTGCACAAACGCAAGATTAAAGCTTCAATTGGATTGTGAATGGCCCTTTTCCTAATTAAAAAAAAAAGAACCGGTATTGGTACTCTCAGAAATGTCATCATGTGGTTGAGTTAGTAAGGATCATTCTCTTTGCTATCCATACTTAGGTTTAAGTCTCACTGCCGACAATTCCTCATGGTAGGTAATATGTAAAAATCAAAAAAGGGGCTAAGACCCCCTCTGTAAGTCCTCAAAGAGACCTAGGCATGCCCCGGCCTTAGGATGTGGTAGCCTCCCTCCTCCTAAACTTTTTTTCATAAAAAAAATAAAATAAAAGAAATGTCAGCATCACTATTCCCTTGTAATAACATAAGAAATTATATTCGGAGAAGTGCATGTTGTCTTTTTCGGAGTGCTAATAACAGCTATGTTACAAAGTTGGAAAATGATCAAAGTCCTTTACTATCTTCTTTTTTGGTTTGTGAATCTATTTGATGGGGAAATATCAATTAATGCCAAGCTTTATTTATGGGTGAGAGGACAAATCTTGGGTTTCCTAGCAAGCAAGGAACAAGAAGAGAGAAAAAAATGAAGTTATCAAATTGAGTTAGACACAAGCACATAATCATTGATGTACTTATGGATAATACGAATTCAATTAATTCCTAAAACACAATATTAAATAATTACATCGCAAAAACGTTTCTCCCTTTGCAGAATGATATGTTGTTGGTCTGCTGATAATAATTTCTCTCTTTCTTATGTCTCTCTCACCCTTTCATTTAATACTCAATGAATATCATCACTACTTTGAGTGCTTTCAATTGCAGAAAAATGACATTTTCCTGGTGAGGAGGAGGCTTCGTACATTTGCTTTGCTAAGATGCACTGCACGTATGCCAGCTTCCAATATTGTCAGTTTTCTAAGCTGTACCAGCCATTCCATGTCCAAACCAGAAGGCAACTTCCAAAGTAGCAAACGAATTTGCTTCCTTTTTCTTTTCTTTTTTATTTGGCAATCTCACATTTCTTCTTCTCTGTGTGTTTTGTGCCATATGGAGGAAAACTTTATGTGACGCAATGCACCAAGCAAATATATATATTTCACCGTATATAAATAAAACAACAGCATTATTCTTCAATTATTGTCTGAGGCAAGTAACTTTTTTTTAATGATGGAGGGATTTTAATATATGTATTGTTCATGTTAATAAAGAGTTGGACAAAGAGTATACCTAGCTAGCTAGGTTGAATTGATAAGTAACCTAATTGCATACGGTTAATTGGAACTTAAATTAAGCTCAACCAAAGCACCACAGTTAACTGTTTAACCACGAGATGCTATGCATAAGGAGATGGATTAATTACTTCATTAGTTTGTAACCTCTTTTTAAAACTACAAATCCTTTCATTTTAAGACAAAAATCATCACTTCCCCCAACCTTGAATAGCCAAAAAGGCAAGAAATTAATTATCGTCTTAATATTTTGTTATAAGGTTTTAAGCTCGAACGGCCATGCCATTTCCGAAGAAGATATATAAACGTACAGTTATAGTACTAGCATGAAAGGAGTTGGTATTAACACTTCAAAATAGTCATACTGCCGATGGAGCGAGTTGTTATTGAGGAAAGTTGAAATGATAAGAGTGCTAAAGAACTATTTTGGAGTTCTAATCAAATGGAGATTTAAATAAATAAAAACCCACAACAACAAAAAAAAAAGAAGAAGAAGACATTTTCATGATAAAGGAATTAAATCTTTGCATAAAAGAGACTAGGATGATGATAACAAAACACTAGCTAGCAACACTGTAACCTCTCCCTTCCCCATTAAAATTCCAGAAAGAAAATAAAATGCTTTATTCCCCTCTAAAATTTTCATGTCTTTAGTCCCATTAAAACATCACTCAGACCTATACATGAATAATCCTCATCAGTTAGCTCCTTGCTTACAATATTGTAAGCCCCACCTCACATGAGAGAGAGAAAGAGAGAGAGAGAGAGAGAGAGAGGGGTATATTTTCAAATTTCTGAAACCCCATAATCAAAGTCAAACCTCTCCTTTGAAAACACACACTGCTAGTTAAAGCAACTGAACAAGTTGTCTTCTGCCTTTCTGCCAGCTGATCTACCACATGACCTCACTGATTTTGGCTTCCCTTGCTGAGCTTCAGTCCATAGTTTTCCCACAAGTTCTCTCCCTCACTCATCAAGAAGGGAAAACAATTATCCTGCACTGCACTTCCCACATTTGCATTGCCACAAGGAGAATTATTAGACCCATCATTATTACCACCTTGCTCATGGTCATTCATTTCAGCACAATACCCTCCTTGACTACTATACAATGAGGAACAAGACTCATTGTTCTGAAAGTAACAAGCTGAGCTTTTTGAATTCACATTCTCCTTGCGCTTCTTATTCAACAACTCCCTTGCACTACTAGTGTTATGAACAATTTGATCATGATCAGAACTAGTCTGATGATGATGATGATGATGATGATGATGATGCTGATCATGATCATGATCAGGTGATGGAGAACTATAGTTAGCCTTTGCTTGATCTGTTGATGATGATCCTCCTGTTAGCTTGTGCAATGCCTCCATTAAAGCCTTGTCCCTTGCTTCAATCCAAGCCCTCTCTTTGGCCCAAAACTTGTGCTCTTTTTCAACCCTCTCCACTTCTTGCTTTCTCCACTCCTCCTCTCTCACCATCCTCTCCCTCTCCTTTTGCTCAAGAGTTCTCATTAACCTCTCCAGCCACTCCTCTTGTTTATCCATCAGCTTCCTCATTTGTGCATCAATGAACTCTTTTATCTTCACCTTCCATCCCCTCCCACCTCTTCTCTTCCTCGTTGTCTTGATGTCTGGAGAGTCATCATCCATTGCGGCCGCGCTGACATCATTGTTGTCCTGATCTTCCGACGAGGAGGTGTCGAACTCGGAGGAATTAGAGAGGCTTAGGCTGTCACAGTGCTTTTGATCAGTTGAGTGATGATAGGGAGTAGTGATCTCTTGATTGGCTTGAGCGTTGATCGTTGTTTGGTAACGAAGATTGTTGTTATTACTGTTATTACCAATGAAATGGGCTTCTGGGAGTGATGTTGATACTACGGAATTGGTGGTTTCTCCATAGAGAGCTTCAAGCTGTCGAAAGAAGCGATAATTCTTACCATCTTGTCTTCCAGCCTTTCCTTCCTTTGTCTTCTTGTAATACTTGTACAAGTTTTCAAATTTCTCTCTACATTTTTTCCCACTTCTTTGATACCCATGTTCCTCACACATGATCCTGCACCAAATTGATTACTTAATCAACATGAGGAAGACAATAAATTTAAAAAAAAAAACCCACAAGAAAATTCAACACTTGATAATAGTAAGGAACCCTAAATTGAATTCCAAAATGGACTAGTCTAAAAACACAAAAAAAAAAGTTGTAGCCATGTGAATTAATTCATGGTCCTTTGTTTTCCTAATGCTGATGTTATAAGA